CAAAAAAACTACGAATCTATATTTTCTTGCCAGCTTTTCTGCATTGCTCCTACAGATGCAAAGGTCATCCAGCTATCTGTCTAGCTGGGAAAACCAAGAAGAAGCGATAATGCATGGATCACACCTACGAGCAGATGTGCTACTATGACTTCTGGAGAGGACAAAAAAAAAACAAACCCAGAAACTACTCCGTAATGTCACTACTTTGTTAATGATTGTGGGGACTCCTGAGTAAATATGTACTTCCTCGGCTACAATGGCTTCCCTGATCTTGTTCTCGGTTGATTTCACTTGCCCTCCAGATCTGATTGGTTATATAGCACAGCGATGCCACACTTTTCCTGTGATCTCTGGTTGGCAAGGATCTGGCAAATTTACAGCCAGGTGAGACAAAATAATGCGATCATGGGTCCAGGAGGAGATGACTATTCAAACAAACTGTTGCTAAGAAAATTTTTTATCTCATTAAAATAGGACGGGAGCATATTATATTGCTGTGGCCAGATCACATGGAAGACATGTGTTTTACAAAATCCCTTACAGTTGTTTTTTTTTTCTAGAGAGGCAAAAGTTACCCTATAAAAAGAAGAAGCAGTGTTTGCATGAGCCCAGATCTGAATTATTCTGTCATTATTCTGTCCCACCACCACCAACCACCCTTCAAACAAGAGAGTGCTAGAAACAAAAAGGTGACTTTTCTCTCAATAAATCGTGCGCCGGTTGGGGAAGGGAGGAAGAATGACTTGACAATGGCTCCGCACCCTCATTATTTTATTGTTCTGAAACCTCTTGTCATTGCGCTAATTGCCAGAGAGAGAGAGATCATCTGTACTTCTATTGACTTGCCAATGTTTCTCGCTGTGTTAACCTGAAGAGTTTGCTCAGGTAGCGCATAACTCATCATCAGCCCCCATAATCCCCTGGTGCAGGACCCATGTGGGGTTCGCATGTGGTCGCAATAAGAGGAATTGGCAAGATTCCTATCAACAGATGACCAAGAGGGTTATTCACATTGTGAAAATAATCCAGGATTAATCTGGGTTAAATCTCCGTTGTTCACACACATCCTAAATGTACCGGCCAAAACCCCCACTAAATCCGGGATAATTGATATTGAGTTTCCCCCCAGGTTTTTAAAAAATGATCCTCATCATTGGTAGTGTGAATAACCAATGTGATTAGACTCAGGATAAAACACCGCATACTAAAAAAAAGGGGTTCCGAACTCATTCGCATCGTCGACGCCATCTTTATTCGAATGCTTGCGTGTGTGAACAACCGCACTCGCAGAGATGCGCACCGATGCAAATGGAAGCGGTCCCACAGTGTGAGTAACAAACCTGGAATGCGTGAGTGAGGTGATTCACATTGTCATGCTAAAAACAATGTTTGAATGACCCCCCCCAAGAGACCCATAGGACAGTCAGCTTCAAAACATCTCAAGATGTTGGAGCAAAGTTGTTTTCTGCTGCTCCGGTGGATAAGCAATGCATGGTCATCTGGGTATGTTTGTGTGTTGTTAACTACTATTGAATCAATCTCGACTCATGGGGACCCTATGGATGAGACATCTCCAAGACCCCCTGCCCTCTATCGCTCTACTTAGTTCCTGCAAATCCATGCCTGTGATCTCTCTGATTGGGTCCAACCATTTAGCATGGGATGTTCCTCTCTTTCTCCTTCCCTCTACCTTTCCCAGCATTATTGTCTTTTCCAAAGAGTCCTCTCTTCTCATGATGTGTCCAAAGTACAACAGTCTAAGTCTTGTCATCTTGGCTTCCAAGGAGGTTTCCAGCTTGATCTACATACACACTCATTTCATGATGCACTTTTTTGACTCCTATCAAGATGCTTTGCCTGATCCAGTGCCTAAATGTCTCTCTCTCTCTTCTCTGTGTATGTGCATTCAAGTCAATCGTTTTCTTCGCGGAGGAATACTCAGAAGTGGTTTTACCAGTTCCTTCCTCTGAAATATAGCCTACAGCACCTGGTAGCTTCCAAGATCAGATGGGATCTGGTGCCTTTAGGCCCTAAATATATCTCTCACTTCTTCAGAAACTCACTTCAAAGAGACCTGGGACTCTGGGAGCTATCCACTGGAGACAGGTCTGAATTTTAAAAGGGGTCTTTTTATGTTCTCAAATAGCGAACTAATTTGATGGTTCTTCCCTCATTGCTTTTGGGATTCCCATGGAGCTCAGGGCCATTGGTAGTATGTCCTGAAGAGCCAACTTAAACCGTCTGCAGACCCTTAATCCATCTAATGTGAAAACAACACGCAGACTACACACCTCTAATATTTTCACTGCCATTTTGCTTGCCCACTTTTTTGAAACCATGCATGGTTTCAATTGCTTGCATTGAGACTTTGGTTCCTTTTATTTTTGGCCAACATGACCATAATATGCAAGTAACCAGATCAATGGCAGCTCAGCGAGACAAATAGTTACAAAACCAATGGATCAAATCTATCGATTCCTCCCTCCCCCCCCCAAAAAAAAATTAGTGTTGCCGCTTGCGCCACTGATGATTGAAATGCATGTCGAAGTGGCGCAAACTAGTGGGAACGACAATCGCGCCAAAAAAGAAGCGATTACAAGGGAATAATGAAAAGATCCACTTTCATAGTGGGAACGATGGACCTTTTTGGAATCAGTTCACCAACACGGAGCGAAGGCGGATCGCAAACCGGTTTAAATGTAAGGGGGGAATGAGGCCAAAGGCAGACAAAGGTTTTTAAAAAGCTATTCACTCATAGTGAGTAAGAACTGCCTGCAGGTAACTATGCAGAGTTGTTCTGGAAAACCAGAAATGAAGTTAAGTCTTTAGGACATATGCAACTGGGCCAGTAAAGCTCTTTTGGGCATTTGTAACTTTGGGGAATGTATCTGAGCTAGCCCGAGCTTGGAAAAAAATTACTATTTTGAACTACAGCTCCCATAATCCCATAGCCAGTGTGGTTTCTCCAAGCTCTGGACCCAGCCAGCAACACTGGAACCTTAAGTTAGACTATTTGTCCATCTATCTTAGTACTGTCCATTCTCTAGCATCTTAGTCAGTGAAGGATCTTTCTACCATCTCTATGCAAATGCCCCCCAAATGGTGCTAATTGTTCCGAAAGAGAATGTGCAAATTAATTCTTCCCAAAAAATACACTCAGCCTGGAACAAAAAGTCCCACACTTCTGCATGGCATTCGTTCTCCTATTATGTAAAGACAGCCACATAGAAACACTCATGGCCCAACATCTTTATTAGGATTCTTCTCTTAATGGAGCCAATGGGGCCACCTGCTATTTGCACCTCCTTTGGCACACAATGTCCCCCTTTTCTATTTCCTCACCCTAAACCACCCTGAAAATCCATTTCTGCTCTTGGAAAGATCAAATTGGTTTGAGGCAGAGTTTGAAAAAGCAACTTTTTGGGTAATGGCAATGCCCAGAATCCTTTAGTGTTCCTCCAAATAATCTTTCCTACCTCTGCTCCAAGGAATTCATCATCAACAGCTTTTCCGCAACAGGAACATCAACCAAGGCTGCTTCCACATTGCAGAATTAATGCAGTTTGACACCGCTTTAACTGTCATGGCTCCATCCTATGGAATCCTGGGATTTGTAGTTTGCACCAGAGCTCTCTGACAGAGAAGGCTAAATGTCTCACAAAACTACAGTTCCAAGTGTCCCCTAGCACTGAGCCTTAAAGTGTCAAACTGGTGTCAAACTGGATTATTTCTGGAGTGTGTTTTGGACCTTTCTCAAACCTAGTAGGCGATGGCAAGTATGGAATATGGGACCTTTCCATGTAATCTATGTACTCTTATCTTTAACTATAGACTCTCCCCAAATACTGTCAGTAATTTCGGTTTGGATTATACAAGTTTATCCTCTTTTTATTGTCATCACAATGCTGTGTGGCAGATTATATCCATTACATGGAGGGTGGGAATGAGATTTCTTTTAAATAAAAGAGCAAGTTCCTAGTCCTTATGACTAAAGGTACTGTAGCAACAATGCAGTTTCACACCATTTTAAGTGCTATAGCCCCATCCTATGGGATTTGTAGTTTTACAAGGTCTGTGGCCTTCTCTACCAAAGAGTGCTGGTGCCTTACCAAACTACAAATCCCAGGATTCTGTCAGATGGAGCCCTGGCAGTTAAAAGTGTTGTCAAAGTGCATTATTTCTATATTGCAGATTCAGTGGTTTGAGTGTTGGGTTATGACTCTGGAGACCAGGGTTCGAATCACTGCTTGGCCATGGAAATCCACTGGGTGATCTTGGGCAAGTCACACTCTCTCATCCTCAGAAGATGAGAATGGCAACCCCCCCAAAAAAAAAACTTGCCAAGAAAACCCTAGATATATTCACCTTAGGGTCTCCATACGCTGGAAATGACTCGAAGGCACACAAAAGATGCACCCTAGGATAAACATCAAGCAAGACTGCACTTTAAAGCCAAATGGGCAATACCTGCTGAAAATCTCAGAGATTTCTATAATAATAATAATAATAATAATAATAATAATAAAATTTATTTCTATCCTGTCCTTTGGGAAACCCAATCAGGGCGGCTTACAACAGTAAAACAGTATACAATACATAAAATCCGAAAATTATTCCCTCCCCCCTTAAAACAGTATTAAATCTAAATGAATTAAAATTACAATAGTAGTTAAAACCAATTCCAATAGTTCTCTTCTCAATCCTCTATTATCAAAGGCCAGCAAGGCCAGAGTCGCAAACCGATATGCAAACCGGCTTGCAAATTTCGTTGATGCTGCTGCTGCATATTTGGACTCCTTTTATTTTTGCAAAACCAATGTTGGGGCATGCTAAGCCCAAACCGTACAGTCCCCTCCCTTTCAGTCCCAGCATTTGGCCTCTTCTGGGTATGTCAGGGGAGTTTGTAGTTTGTATAATCATCGACAGGGTTACCAAGGCTTCATCCCTCCAGGGCAGGAGAACATATGCATACCAGCCATCCTTCATATCCCTGGCTGAGATCCCAGCCAACACGGAGGAGCTCTAGGGCTTCCTTCCTCCACCCATTCTCTTTCTTTTGACTAAAGGCAAAACACAAAACATTTACCCTGAGCCGCGCTTTCCCAATGCACAAAGAATCCATTTCAGCCCAGCCTTAGAAAAGGATCCTCTCTCGAGCAAAACTAATGGCCAGAGAAGAGCTACAGGAGTTCAGTATGGAGGAAGAAGATTGTTAATGGGAAATCTATTCCGAACGATTGATCCAATCACTTGGATCAATCCCTGATCAGAAAATGCATCTGAGGAGGTTGACTGGAGTCGAGGAAAGCTCACGCTGCCAATTTCTTTCTTTCGGTTAATAGTCTCAACGGTGCTACAAGATCTCTCTATGTACAGCTCAGAAAAGGGATTGCAGTCAAGATATCAGGAGAAGGCTAGGATTGGGAAGGGTAGCCATGAAAGAACCAGACGAGATCTCAAAGGGCAAAGGTATGAAATCGAAGATCAAAGGATCGTCCAAGACATCGTATTCCCCATCACCATGTACAGATGTGAGAGCTGGACAGTGAAGAATGGGGATAAAAATAAAATCAATGCATTTGACATGTAGAATTCAAAGATATAGCTACATTAGTCTGTAAAATCAGTGTGCCGAGAGATCTTGGAGCACCTTTGAGACTGACTGGAAGAAAGAAGTTGGCAGCAGGAGCTTTTGTAGAGTTCAGTCTACTTCCTCAGATGCTTCTCATCTGAGATGCGGTGCTGGAGAAGAGTGCTGAGGATACCATGGATGGCCAAGAAGACCAACAAATAGGTTCAAGAAGAGATCAAGTCTATCTTCTCCCTGGAAGCCAAGATGACAAAAGTGAAGCTGTCGTACTTTGGCTACATCACGAGAAGGCATGAATCACTGGAAAAGACAAAGATGGAAGACAGTAGAAAGGAAGGAAGACCCCATCCCAGATGGACAGGCAATCTTGGAGGCCATGATCCTGAGCTTGCAGGACCTGAGCAGAGCACTTATGAACAGAAGGGCTTGGAGATGTCTCATTCATGGGGTTGCCATGAGTCGAGGCAACAACAAGCCTCCCTCCACTATCCCAGCTCGATCTGTTAAAGTAATGGCTGTTTAAGGGTAAACAAACCAGCATCCCTCCAAGTTTTGGACCACAGCTCCCATAGACCACAGCCAGCATGATCAATGGTCTGTGAGAGTTGTGGTTGAGATTTGAACAGTGAGAGATGTAAAGGTCTGAATGTTGCCTCTGCCCTGAACTCCCATCACGTCTGATCATTAGTTCGGGAAAGTAATTTTCATCTTACGTTTCACAATAAGGCAATCCCCTGCAGACAGATACCCTCCAGGTATATCAGACTACAACTCCCACTATCCCCAGGCAGTAGTACACTGAGCAGGAGATTCTTATAAGAGTTACAAAGATAGAGACAAAGTTCAGGGAACTTGCTATCCTGGCTATTAGAGAGTCAGTGTGGCATTGTGGTTTGAGTGCTGGACTGCGACTCTAAAGACCAGGGTTTGATTCCCAGCTTGGCCATGAAACCCACTGAGTGACCTTGGGCACATCACACTCTCTCAGCCTCAGGGGAAGGCAATGGCGAACCTCCTCTGAACCAATCTTGCCAAGAAAACCCTACAATATGGCGTTAGGGTCGCCATAAGTTGGAAACGACATGCAGGTACACAACAACAACATCAGTCTTACAAGCTAAAAACAGCCCTCTGGTAAACTTCCAGATGTGTTGGACTACAACTCCCATCATCCCAGCTAATGATATTGGATTGTAGCCCAATATTGTCTGCCCCAACCTTCCCAGATCTATCAGCTTCCAAATGTTTTGGGCTGCAGTTCCAGCCAAAGGGAGGCATTCAGATACAAGGATACGCCTAAAAGGCTATACTTTATAAAACAGAAAGTGGCTTGTAATTGCACATTCCAGGGGATTAAGTCGTATTCCTTGGTAGCTGCATGCACACACAAGCAAAGAAATGCTTACAAATCTGCCATTCACGCTTCCCTCCCTTTTAAAGCAACAGACACAAACTATGCAGTGTTGTAAATCCTAAGTTGTCCCTCTTTTAAGTCCAATGCTCAAACTGCTGCACCACACTGGCGCCAATAGATAGGATAGGTGCAAAGTCTGATTTTTTCCTCCTATTTTCCTCCTTCTTCTGTTGCCTCCAGTGGGGAATAGCATTTAGATGCTTACTCTCCCAGCTTAGTGCTCCTCCAGATAGTTGGATGACTACTATTCCCATCCTCCCCAATTGGTTTTATAATGTCACTGTTGTTTTTCCATACCTTCAAGTCATTTCTGACTTATGGAGACCCTAAGGTGAACCTATCGCAAGGTTTTCTTGCCAAGTTTCTTCACAGGGGGTTTGCCATTGCCACCCTCTGAGGCTGAGAGAAAGTGACTTGCCCAAGGTCACCCAGTGGGTTTCCATGGCCGAGTGGGGATTCGAACCCTGGTCTCCAGAGTCATAGTCCAACACTCAAAGCAATACGCCACGCTGGCTCTAGAATTCTAAATACTGCCCCCTAAACACAAAATCCCAGGATTCCATAGAATGGAGCGATGCTCCCTCTGAAGACAAAAATGCGGTGCCAAGCATCAGCCACACGGCTGGGCATCTTGTTCTGACCTCAGAGAGAGCAACTTGCGCCCGTGTTGACAGCGCCATGCAGCACAGCATTGGAAACAGCCACCCAGCATTGCCCCAGAGGGCTCCGGATTTTCTGGGAAGATGCAGAGCAAAAGATGGTTTTTGTAAAAGAAATCCAGTTTAAGGGTGGTGCAATCAGTCCTCCGTATTTTTTTTTTAATCCATGACTTCAATCATCCACAGCTTGGAAATATTTTTAAAAATATATAAAGTCCCAAAAGCAAACCTTGGTTTGTATAAGGGACACTATTTTAGTAGGGTATTGTATTTAATGGGACTTGGGCAACCACGGATTTTGGTATCCATGGTGGTCCTGGAACCAAACCTCAGCAGATACCATGGGCCCACTGTATAGTGGGAGTTTGATGCTGAACTAGCTGTATGTTTGCATCAGAATCGAGGATTGGGCCCTGCAATATCTGGACGGATCGCCATCACGATGGGAGGAGGATGCATTATTTGGTCTGTGTGGACATGACCTATGGCAGTTAAAGTGGTATCATTGTGTTTTTAACTGTGTCGTGTGAAAGGGCCCCAGGAAATCTGCAGGAGTGGTAATTCCCCCTTTAACAAATCTCAGCTCTCGCCTTTCCTGCACTGTTTAACCTTTTCTTAAAAGCCAGTTTTCAGTCTGGAAGTAAGCAACCAGCCTGTCCCAGTTTTGGGCAGCCTGTGCAGCCAATCCCAAGGACAGAATGACCCCCAAATTCACCCGATGCCCCCCTCTTGTTGTGGTTGTTTCCGACTCATGGGGGCACTAAGACATGGGGTTTTCTTGGCAAGATTTGTCCAGAAAAGGGTTTGCCATTGCCTTCCCCGGAGGCTGAGAGAGTGTGGCTTGCCCAAGGTCACCCAGGGGGTTTCATGGCTGAGCTGGGAGCTGAACCTTGGTCTCCAGAGTCCTTGTCCAACTCTCAAACCACTACGCCACGCTACTGCCCTAACCTGTCGATCACACCTCTAAAACTACATAGCCTTGAAAGGAGCTTTCCCTCAAACTCCCAACAAAAGTGCTGGACAGCAACTCTCATCATCCCCCAGCCAGTATAGCTATTGATGCCTCTTGCATGGACAGTGCTAGCTGGGAATGAAGGGAGCAGTGCCTGGAAAAAGTGATTTTGGACGACAACATCCAGTATCCACAAGCCAGCATGGCCACCGGGTCTGGATGGGAGAAGTACACACCTGGAGGGAGAGAGACGGGGAGGCAACAGGCACGCTGGCCAGGGATGATGGGCTCTGTAGTCCCAAGCATCAATAGCGGAGCACCATATAAAAGCTAGGAAAGATTTCCTATAAGGACAAGGGATGCTGGAGTGAAGGGGGAGCCCGTCTCCTTCCTGCAGCCCAAACAAATGGTGGAAGAGGTTGTTCTATGAGAGGCCTTGCAAATGTTAATTCCCCAGCCTGGGCAGCTGACTTTCTTTGCAGCAGCAGCAGCACCACCGCATACCTTTAGTTTCCGCTTCTCCACAGACCTGTTTATGGGGAGGAAGTTTCCATGACGCACGCTACCAAGGCAACAACGGAGGCTTTTTCACGTGAGGAGGCAGGAAGCCGCTGCACTAGTCGAGTGACACTCCTCGTGCGAAGCAAGGGAGGCCTCCTGGAGGAGCTGGGCAGCCCTTGGGGGGGGCATCTGGCCTGTGCCCCCAAGAGAGGCTTGCCAGGCCGCAAAGGGCACCGCCTGCCCATGGCTGCCCAAGCTATTCCCTCTCCCCCAACCCACAACTTTAAAAAACACAACACTTCAGTGTTATTCTGGCCAGGATGGGACCTGAACCCGGCACCCGAAATCTGCTGCTTGATCAGAGAAATATTCATGGCACGATCATGGCAAAATACAGTCCCCCTCTATGTCTACCTAAACTTTTGCATGCCTTCGGTCACCGAAGAATCCTTGTTAGCTCCATAGGTTCATGCCATAAAACTTCTGTTAGCATCTTATACTTTTTCACATATACAGAATATTGCATAACCCCGTTCCGTGTTTTTTTGTTTTGCCACCCCAAAGTCCTATTTTGGCCTCAAGGAAATATGGTCAGCCTCCCCATCAGCAGCAATGTTTAGTCCAGCAAGTGCCATGGCAATCTGGCATCATGAAAAGGGAGCAGGTTCTCCTCCTGCATCATACCAAATTCGAGGCGGCCCTTGTAGGCTAAAATAAGACCATAAATAGCACTTGCTTAATGTGCTTGAAACAAAGGAGAAATATACACACACACACACACATTGCCCAGTATAACAAATCCGAAGAACAAGAACACGCTTGTAACGCAGCATTAGGATCGCCAGCTCCACGAAGGTTAGAAGATCTGTTTGCAATGGGATTCTCAGCCACAGAAAGACATCTCAGGATGCGACCATTAATGCAGCCCCAGGAAAACATTGCACATGGGCATCCTCTGAACATTATATATTGATCACATCTCCTTGTGATTGTAAAGAAAGGCATGAACAATGTGGCTTGCTGCAATGCACCTTCAAGTTATTTCCAACTTAGGTTAACCCTGTCACGGGATTTTCTTGAGCCAATCTGTTCAGAGGAGGTTGAATTTATGACTGTCTCTGTGGTCATTTTTCTTTCCTTCCCCCCCCCCCCCCCCCCTTTATGTTCAGCAGTAAGCCTACCTTTGCACTTTCTTTTTAAACTTTCCTTAGCAATTGGTCCAAGCCTATGATGCTTTCCGCTAGAGATACAGTGTTGTCTTGCATATCCGGCATCCAAAACACACTGCAGAAATCATCCAGTTTGAGACCACTTGGACTGCCCTGGCTCAGAGCTAGGGAATTTTAGGAATTGTAGTTTATTGTGGCACCTGAGAGCTCTCTGACAGAGAAGGCTAAATGTCTCACAAAACTACAGTTCCCAGGATTCCCTAGCATTGAGCCAGGGCAGTTCAAGCAGTCTCAGATTATTTCTGCAGTGTGTTTTGGACCTTAGATTGCTGATGTCCCTACCTCCTGTCTTCACGCCTCCTTCTATCGATTCTAAACCTGATTTTCGTATATTTTCATATGATCTTTAGAGAATTCTAAATTTCCATCCGTAAACTACAAACATCAGGATTCCATCAAATTGAACAATGGCACATAAAGTGGAATCACAATGCTATAATGATGCAGTGTGAAAGGGATCATGCTCTGGCTTTTAGTTTGAAATTTATGGGAACTGTCCAAGGTGCTGAGTCTATTTTGGGGACAGGATAGAGACCCTTAAGAGTCTATATTAACATTTAGAGCAGATTCTGTAGCATTAATAATAATAATAATAATAATAATAATAATAATAATAATAATAATAATAATTTTTATTTCTAACCCGCCCCTCTGCTAGGCAACCGCGGTGGCGTACAACAAATTAAAAGCAATACAAGAGTAAAACACATTGCCAAATATTCCCACCCCTTAAAAATAAATTAAACTGAGATAGTATTAAAAACATTTGAGTAATAAAATCATAAAACAAAGTAGCGGCAAAACAATAGTGGCTAAGGATAGGGGGGTAGGGGAGCGGATTGACAAACCATTAGAGCTTCTTCAAGCTACAGAGCAGATTCACTGCTCCAATGATGTGGAGACATTGTTGGCTAACTTTCTACTTGCAGGGAGACGTCCACCTTGAAACAAGCTGCCCTTGTTTCATTTGAAACAATGAAATCTGAGTTTGAGAGTCAATTATGTACTGATGATCGATATTTGATTGCTAAAATGTATAAGCTGCTATTGTGATTTGAAACCAAAGAGGAGGTAAAAGACTATATGTATGGGCTCAAAATATTGGTTCCCCAATTTAAATGGAACAATGGGAAAAGATGCGTTGGACCCAGACTTTGAAATGTACTTTAGAGTTATGATTTGAGGGGAAACTTTGATAAGATGATGTAGGGATGGTATCTAGCTTTGGTCAGATTGTTAAAAATTTGCAAAAATAGTTCCAATAAATGTTAGAAATGGAATTTTTTTACCCCATGTGGTGGACGTGTGATGGAGCATGGAAATATGAGTTCCACTTAATGTGAGGAAATGTTTTTAAATTTGAAATACAATTGAAACCAGAGACTTTCTTGTTGGGAAGCTTAAATGAACAAATCAATACGTAATTCAGAAGGGCTTCACAATATAGGATTACCATTTTCCATATTGGTTGACCAATTTTAGTTCGAACTAGAGTAGATTCTGCCTCTGTAGCTTGAAGCAGCTCTAATGGCGCAGATTTTAGTTTGAACTAGAGTAGATTCTGCCTCTATAGCTTGGAGCAGCTCTAATGGTGCAGATTTTAGTTTGAGCTAGAGTAGATTCTGCCTCTGTAGCTTGAAGTAACTCTAATGGTGCAGATTTTAGTTTGAGCTAGAGTAGATTCTGCCTCTGTAGCTTGAAGTAACTCTAATGGTGCAAATTTTAGTTTGAGCTAGAGTAGATTCTGCCTTTGTAGCTTGAAGCAGCTCTAATGGTATGCCACTTCTTTCTACTGATGCATTGCTTTGCATGATGCATTTATGCTGCTTTTGTGATGCATTGCTTTAAGTGAACCCCCCCATTCTATCTACATGTTCAGAACCCTGAAGTGACTTTCTATCTTAGAATAGACGATGCTCTCTTTCCAATCTGCTCCTGCATCTCTTCCCCAGGATGCCGCAGGAAGAGCTTACCTCTGCTTCCCTATCACTTTCACATCGATGTAGATGTGCAAAAATGCACACCGATTCGCACCATACAGTTACGTGTAGACTAGCCCTACGGCTCGGAGGCATGGCAATGAAAATATGCAACCAGAATCTGTTGCGCGCGCATGCGCCGATCCCCAACGCCAAGTTGCCTTTACCTCGTCCGTGGTGAGGGGCATGCAAAT